TGAGTGAAATAACTGCATTGCTTATCACTCCCTCATGACAGGTTTCATTAATTGCACTAAGTATATTGAAAACAACCTTGCATACAACATACAAACTAAAAAATGCAATGCATCATCATTCACCAAACAACCAAATGTAATGTGCAGTAAGTGCACTACAATGTCATTCATCAAACAACCAAGTGCAGTACACTATTAAGTGCAATGCACTATCATTCATCAACAACCAAAAACACCTTCTTGCATTTTTTGTCATTGCACAACACAGACAACCAGAAAAGCGACACAATTGCATTGCACTATCATTAAACAAAATAGAGACCATTTTCATTCAATATACTTAAACTATTACAAGAGCTTTAAATGATACATAAAAGATACAACACTACTAACTCCCAACCAAAAAATTCCACTCCTAAAATAGATCTTCAATATATAACACTATTAAGTCCCAGCCAAAAATCCCACTTCATAAAAAGGCAAATAAATAAGATTATAACTGACAACCCAAAGAAGAACATGCTTCCAACAAACATTGATTTAGCAATTGCAACCTACTCGAGCTTCATCTTTATCTTCAATGGCTTCACCGAACCTGTTGGAGGAGTCCACCTTTGGAAAAAATTACATTCCTTATTCTTGCAATTGAAATAGAGCTTGCCAGGATTGTCGGCTTACTCAAATATGAACACAACTACCCTTTTGTCACAACATTTACTATTCCTGAAAGGACCCCTTTGCACCATACCCTGAAAACTACGACTTGCAGATAATTCATAAACTCATTTTCTACAAATAATACCATAAAAATGAAAATTAATAAAGAAAATAATACCATATAATACCACATATAAATACATATACTGAATAATACACAACGAACATACACAAAGACAGAAAATGGGTTGGATACGACCAGAGCTTGATGATGAACAAAGTGAAAAAAATTTAATCGCTCTTTCCAAAATACAAACCTACAGATGGATAATAACCTTTACCAAGACGCACAGCTGATTGGCACGAAAGCACGATGATATTATCTTGTTTCTGACCACCAAAATCACCAAGATGCACAAATGATTGAAAACAAAGACTAACCTTAGCAGTTGAAGAGTTATCAATTTGGGGAAATTTTGATAAAGGCTTGTTTGGGTCGGTATTCCATTTTAAGGGATGGCTTTTTGGTCTAACGGTAGGAAATTAAGGGCATTATTGTTCTTTCATGCTTCTATGGGTAATATGGTCATTTAAATTTAAGAAACCAATTTTAACGGTCATATACCACCGGACCTTGGACGGATAGGGTGATCTGCAACAATTTTGCATAGTTCAGGGGGTTAGTTGTAGGTTTCTCCATAACTCAATGAGGTTTCTTGTATTTTACCTAATAATATATTGAGTTATGGAGCCCATAGATATTGATTGCTTCATCAATTAACTAATCAAACACAACATTTATATATAAATAATTTCACACACACATTCCAACAAAATAAATAAAGAAAAAATAACAAAGAAAAATATACAACGCAATATAGAGCATTACTATTTACTAAAAGATATATACATAGAGCACCACTCTCCCTCCCCTCTCCTATTTATTTAAATGAATGGGACGTGAGCAAAAAAATTCCGTATCATATGCATATAGAGTATATAGCTTCGTATACGTTCTAAAAAATCTTTAATACTTAATTTTGAAACAAATACTTGACTGCTGAAAAGACTAAAGTATACATCTATAATTGAATAAAAAAAAATAAAAAAAAGTTAAAAAGTAATAATTAAATGTAAAATAATTAAAATGTCCCTCTTTCGGTTCGTTGTATATATATAAAGGCATTAGCGGAAGATATATGGGTATTTTTAAAATTTTATATTAAAAATGTCATGGGCAATGTACATGACTAAATTTTTAACAAATAGGACCTCAAGCCTTTTTTTTTCTTTACTACATAAGCTTTTCTAGCTTTTTTTTTTTTTTTTAATATCACTTGCTATTGGGCAGGAGTATTACATTATGGTGCCCATTGTACTCCATATTTTCTCCTTATTGTCGGTCGAGCAGAGTGTTTTTACCTTCTCTGTTCAACAAATTCAAAATATGTTTTAAAAAAATAAAAAAAAAAAATTATATATAAGGAAATATTAAACAATTAGGTTGTTAACCTTGTAGTTTGCATTTAGTAATACCAAAGATTAAAAAAATAAAAATAAAAATTGATGAAAGTAAGAAAATTTGAATGTAGAATAATTATTAATCTAATTTTTTTTTTTTTTTTTTTTTTTTTTTACTAATTTGGATTCATTTTGAGTAGGGCAAACTTTGACTCTCCCCCCTAGACCCATTTCAATCTCAATTAAATTAATGAGGTAATTGTCATTCTCACTCTTCAAATAATAATTTTGGCAATATCAGTAATTGCTTTGAAACGCAACTTCATAACTTTATGCACCAATATCATTAATTGTATTTGAATTTGTGTTACTATCAACTCTAAATAATATATATATCAAATATCTCGAAAGTATGATGCACTGATTTCGAATCGTCCCAATCTTTGTGATAAAAATACATTATCACATTCACGATGGAATGGCACACACTTTCCGAGTACCATGATACTTTTTCCATCTCCACGTGGATGATTAAAATGAGTTGTGAACGGTACAAACCAAACAATCCTTGTTATTATTCATCAATTAAGCGAATTATTGAAGCTCAAAGTCATGGTCATGGGTCAGTCTCACTGAGAAAAGATAAAGGGCAATAAAGACAAAGCACCGACTATGGACTTCACTCATATATGATCATTACTTCAACAATATTTTATTTTATTTTTTATTTTTTATTTTTTTATTATTTTGGAGGTGGAAATTAAGAAAGTTAAAACAAATGTTTATTGGATAAGGGAAGAAAAAAGTAAATTTGTGACTGCTATTGAGTGATATATGTTTGCTAAGGTTGAAAATATTTTTATTTTAGCATTTTTTTAGGTACAATATTGAGATTTTTAGGCTCCACTTTATTTGTTGAATTGGTATGGAAAGGGAGAAAGAGAAAGAAAAAGTGGAGAAAAATAATTCTCTCCACTTGATTTGTTGAATTTTTAGGCTCTACTTGATTTTTCGAATTGGTATGAAAAAGGAAAAGACAAAGAAAAAGTGGAAAAAAAAAAAAAAAATTATTCTCTATATATAATATTATTAGTAAGAATTTTCTTGAAAAATAATTATCTTCAAATTTTTTTCCTTAAATTTCCGAAAGCATCTCCAACCATTGTGTATATTTTTTTTTTTTCGTAAATCTGATGTGTTATAATATATTTACACAAAAAAAATTGAATTATTTAATTTTAACTTCAACTGTTTTTTTATATCTTTTAAGTAAAAAAATATCCACCAATAACAACCAACCATGTGTCATACCAGACTCCATATAACGTTTACAAACCTACTTAACATAGGGTTGATTCTTTAATGGAGGAGAAATGAAATATGCTGATGTGACTGTGTAAAAATGTTGCGTAAAATACACATTAATTTTACACATTAGTACATATCAGTGTATCTTAACAGACTGCTGGAGATAAAATAAAATTAAAACTATCATCCTTGGTCGTGTATATTTTACACAAAAAGATATTTTAACAGATTGCTGGAAATGCTATGATGTTTTTTTTTTCTCTCTACTTAATTTCCATAATTATCAAATAGGAAGAAAAAAAAATAATTACCCCACTTGATTTGTCAAAATGTTAAAAAAATAAAATAAAATTATTATGTCGTCTATACAGTATGTTAGTGGTAAGAAGTTTCTTGAAAAATAATTGGTAGCCAAGAAATAAAAGAAATAATTAACAGTAAAATTTCTCCTTGAAATTTGTGATGTCTTTCTTTTCTCCATATTTAATTCCCGCAATTATCAAATGGGAAAAATATTGATATTCTTTTTCTTTTAAATTTTTTTTTAATAAATGAATGGAGTTAAACCTAAGAATCAGAGATGGAGCTAGGTTGGACCCAGTGGGGCAAATATCCCACTCAATTTCTTTTTCAAAAAAATTTAAAAAATTATTTTCTGTCTTTCTTTTTACATTTTTCTCTCATTTATCACCATATTCCTTTAAAACTCTTCCTCCACTCAATTATAGAGAGTTTGTATAAATTTGGGATCTCACTTAACCGAAGGAAAAGCAAGAAACCAAAATTTTAAATTTAATAATATTTTTATTTTCTATAAAATAGCAAATACTGAAATAGAAAGAACATGTTATCAACCAGTATTTAAGTTTTTGTATTTCTTATTTAAATAAATACAGAAAATCATAAATAGAGAATAAACTCCTTATTCTATCTCCTTTTAAAAAAGACAAGCTTCTCACTTTCAAAAACACTAAGAACGTTGACGGAAGATGGAAAAGAGAGAGCAATACAACTTTGAATTATGACATAGTTATTAAATCAATACTAGAGTACAGTGAGCTTGCAAATTTAGATAGGTATTGATGTGACCGAAAAGTAACTATACAAATAGAAGTAGATATTTTTGACGTGACAAAATTACTTACTGATAATTAAGGGTTTAATTGGTAATATGCGACCATTTTAAGCAACATAAACATGTACTATCCGTAGAAAAATATAAAAATTTACATATTTTGACGTAAAACTTTCTTATTGTTTGCTGTCTCATTTCTTTGTATAGATTCTACTATCCTAGTCGACAAAAATAAAAAGTTAAATAAGAAGTCAAAAAATTTCAGACTTCATATTTCTGTTTCTGTGTCACTCTCTTTTAGACTGTTTATTACGATAGTAGCAGATTTTATTGAAAAATAGAATCTTTTCGGGTTCAAATTATTCAATACTTCTAATTCTCATTAATTGCAATGGGTCCCTAATTTGGACACGGTAGATGGGTTATACCGTTCACGCGTCACTCTCTGATTTGGGCAGTCATGTGATCAAAACCCCCAAAACTCTCTAAAATATATATACACACACATATGTATAGCATTAGAAAAGAATATGAATGCACTATATAAAATGTACATAAATCAACACACAATTTCAAAAGGGGTGGGAGAGATGGGTCTGGTTTGGCCCCTTGTTTTATTTCTTCTGCTCACAACGTCTTCAATTGCAGAACATCAAGGCATGTATTTATATCATCTGTTTTTATATGATTTCTTCAATTGTCATTTAAATGAATCCAAGTGATGATTTGAAACACACCCAGAAGCATAATTAAGAAACTTTTCCCAATTTATTGCTCTGACCAATCCATAGATGTAATCAATTGGGAGTGACATATATGATATCTGTATCTATGTAGTATGGCAAGTATATGTTTATACTAATATTTTTTTTTGTATGAACCTTTCTTAAATTTTGGCAGAAGATGAGCAGGGACTCAACCATATGCACCTGAACTTACATCATGTGCTAGGACCTGGTTCACCTCTCGCCTCCCAATCTCCGTCATCCGTCTCCGACGTACTCCTTCGCGACGGATCCCGAGTCAAGCATCTAAATTACAGACTCAGGAACAAAAACAGTGCCACCACTAACTCTACTTCACACGAATCAGAACACCCAGTAGGACCAAAGTTAATCAGCACACCTTTGAACCCTGGTTTTTCGATTGGCGTGGGCAATTACTATGTGAAAATCGGCCTTGGGACTCCGCCCAATTTCTATCCAATGGTTGTGGACACAGGCAGCTCCTTTTCCTGGCTCCAGTGCCGGCCCTGCGCCGTGTACTGCCACAAACAGGTCAGTCCGCTCTTCAATCCAGCTGCATCGAACACTTACAAGTCTATGTCATGCTCGACGCCGCAGTGCAGCTCACTCCGGGAGGCCACACTCAACGACCCCCTTTGCACTTCCAAGAAAGTGTGTGTCTACACGGCCAGTTATGGTGACTCCTCCTACTCCACCGGATACTTGAGTCAGGATTCACTGAAGTTGAGTCAGTCCGAGACCCTGCCGGGTTTCGTGTACGGGTGTGGCCAGGATAATGAAGGATTGTTCGGTCAGTCTGCAGGACTGATCGGCCTGGCACGTCACAAGTTGTCCATGCTCGCACAACTGTCGGCCAAGTATGGGTATGCCTTCTCGTACTGTCTGCCAACAGGCCGTGGCAGTGGTGGGTCATTGTCAATAGGAAAAGCCTCAGTGGTTACTAAATCGGCCTATAAGTTCACGCCCATGATAACCGATATCCGTGACCCAAGCTTGTACTTTTTGAGGCTCGTGGCCATAGAAGTGGCGGGCAGAGCAGTGGGAGTGGCATCGGCCTCGTACCGAGTCCCGACAATTATAGATTCGGGGACCGTGATCACGCGGCTGCCTATGTCGGTATATAAAGCGTTTACAAACGAGTTCACAAAGGTCATGTCACCGAAGCACAAGACTGCCCCGGCATTTTCCATATTGGACGCGTGTTTTAAAGGGAGTGTGAAGGGGATGTTGGCTGTGCCCAAGGTTCGGATGGTGTTTCAAGGCGGTGCTGATCTCGTCCTTTCGCCTCAGAACCTCCTGATTGATGTGGATAAAGGGAATACGTGCTTGGCCTTCGCGGGCAGCAATGATTTCGCGATTATCGGAAACCATCAACAGCAGACATTTAGTGTTGCTTATGACATCTCCAGTTCAAGAATTGGGTTTGCCTCCGGAGGCTGCAATTGATTAGTAGTAGCGATATTTATTTCATGTATATGTGTGTGGTACCCCCATCTAATAAATTCCAGTGAAGCATAAAGTAATAGGGCACTGGGCTAGATTAAATGATGCCCTGTTTGCTTAGTTGTGCATTTGAAAGGATGATTTTATTGTTGAGGTAAATATTGATGTCACAGAGCCAAACTAGCTACTAGCTAAAATCTGCCCTGTATTATTGTATCAGTTGGGCAGCTGACTTTGGTCTTGTGTCAGGTACCTGTTGGAGCTTGCATAGCCTAGCAGCTAGGGTTGTCAAGGCCCATGGCACATTCTGGTTGGTTCAGCAATTGTAATTGTATACTATAAAGCCTTGTGGCCTGCCCTTGTTGGTTTGATCAACGCGTTTGATAAATAAATAATGCTATCAAAAGAATCCTTTCATGACAAAATTTACTAGTTATGCTAATTGACTATTGTATTGAAATGTTTATTTGATTTTTTATAAATATTTTTTAAAAGAAAATTACACAAAAAAAAAAACGCTTTTAATATATCCCCCGATAACTCGGTTGTCTCACAAGGGAAGTGATGGAGTGGTGGACCTCACTCTCCTTGTGAGACACTGGACTTTTGATTTGAGTGTAAGGCAGTTTTGATTTTTTTTTTTTTTTTTTCTTTTGGATAACGTTCCTCTATTACTGTTGGTGTATCTTTGTAAATGTCAGCTGCATCATTTGTGCATATGGATGGACACATCAATGTAACCATTTTAAACCGACATTTATGGCCATAGGGATTTAAGTGAGAGCCTTTAGTACACTATGGTACCACATACAATCCCTCAGTAATAATTGAATGTTCTAATTCTGTTTTGCATGGTTCGAACCACTTTTTATGATCGTATTTGGATTACATAGTTTGGTTTTTTTTTTTTTTCTCTTGGATTACATAATTTGGTTAATTAGTGTTTCACCACAATTGATTTTTTTTTTTTTTTTTTTCTTAATAACAATTCGACCCTCTTACACTTAATATGTCAACTTAATTGAACTTTGATTTAATTTGATAATAGAATCTGATGAGCAACTTAAGACATATATGACAAATATATGTCTGCACTATATGATTGACACTGTTTTGATGAGCACAAGAAAGTATTGAATACAGTATAATGTAGCTATATATATATATATATATAGTTGCATTATAGATGGACCCCTAGACAACTAAGAGTCCTAGACCAAGTTAAAGAAGTCTGGTAGCCAGATGTTAGCTGCCGTGATTAGCGGTAGTGTCTCCAGATCTAAATTTGAGCATTTAAAGGAAGGAACACTGTGTATTCCAAAGTAGTTGAGAGGGTATTGGTTAGTTGGCGCGGGAAGACTTTGTGAATACCGATTTTCTAACCACTCACATAGGATTATGTAGGTTTCACTAGAGCCCTTAGTGAGTGAGCGGGGCATGTCGACTGTGGTCTCCACCAGACCCTCTGTCGGGATATGCTAGGATTGCAATGAATAGCATAGCTTAATGAAATATTGAGGGCTAACAACATCAAGAATATGATGTATTTTGTCGCGATTGTTTTGACTACATAGTGAGCCAAAATTTTTGATGTGGGGGAGATAAAAAGCCTCACAAGTCCACGTTTTAAAGCCTAGTCATAAATGAAATAAATAGACCCCATAAGTTCTCGTTTTATATTTTTTGTGTGTGTGTTTGCCTCTAAAAGGATACATTATATATATGTGTGCAATGTATCATATGTACAGTCAGATTTGGTTACTAATCATGTATTAAAAATTGATAATGAATTGAATTCATGAAATGTGCTGAATAGAACAAATCAAAACTATATAAAACTATGTTGGATTAGTTTGATTTTATATATTAAACTTAATCAATAAAACAACAATAGGTAGACTTGACCTAACCCAAAATCAAATTCTAATCAGTCTTTAAGAAGTACTATTAAAACTTAATGGCAGCCCTAGAGTCAAGTTACATTGGCAAAACTTTTTGAACTCATCAAGTAATTTTTCACCCATCATGTTGGGAGGGAAAGAAAATTTGAAACAGCCCTTAATTGAAGGACCAACATGCTTTTGGATAAGTTGAATAGTTATTTCTTAATTAGATGTTGAGGTGAATTAAAAATTTAAACCAACCTTAGTTGTGGTTGGGGTTGGAACTTGGAAGAGGTGTTAGGCAACTCAAACTTATAGAAATACTAGCTACCCCATCTTAATCTAAGGTTAACTCCAGTCTAACTTGAACTTTTGGCTCGAGTGAGCTCGACGAATTGGAGGTTAAGGTCTGATCAGTTCGGATTAATCCCTCTATTTACCTAAACCCAACCAATTAGCACCCGTAAGCTCTTATTGAGTTTGTTCAATTTAACTCCAATTGAGTTAAAAGGCTAAAATTTTTAAAAAGTAGAAAAGATATTACTGAGGTTTTATTTTTTATTTTTTTGGTTCCAGGAAAAATATTACTAAGTTATAGAAAGTCTTTTTTAGCAAGGGACGTAAATAAAGGTATCTAGGCCAATGTTATGATCTTCTTTATAAAAAATGAAAGGGTGAGAATTGAGTCTACGTAGCATGGCCAGTAGATGTGTGTTTGTTTTAACTTAAAAAATATAGAATAATAATACATCATCCAAATTCGGAAATGTCAAATATGAAATATGTGAGTGGGTGGTGTGGGTCCCACCTCATAATAATTCGATTGAGAAAATATACCATATTACAATGATATCTTACGCGTGCCATCCCCCTCAATTCACATTTATGTGTTTTTTTTCTTGAAAACTCTCCATTTTTCAAGACAAATTATGAAATTCAACAACCATGCATTGGTCGAGAATATTGGAACTGGTTTGAATTAAGATAACAGTAAACAGTTTTTAAAGAGACAATTCTCTTCAAACAGATCTTTTTATAACTGAATTTTTAGAAAATAGCTTTCAAAAACTTAATTTTGTACAATTTCTTATTTTTAATTTTTTAAAAATAAAAAATCGCTTCTCAGAGTTACAAATCAAACTTTCTCATCCCTGAAATGTTATGTTATGGGGTCTACAGTCTCGTAAGGACACCAAGGCATCCTCTCCCAATTAAGTAAATAGCAGGGACCAAAGTTAAAACCACATGTGGCACCCTTGTGTGGACTCACTCAATATAAATACATGCCATAAATGCACCTAAGGTGGGACTTATTTTAAAATTCAATTTAGACCGCAGTTTTCAAACTTTTTGGCAGTCAGGTTGTCTCATGTATGAATCATATAACAATTATAGATGACACATATTTTGTGAATCCCACAGCCTTGATTGACTTGTCCTGCTTATGAAGACCCCAAACTCTTAAGCTCCATTCTCAAATCCGCCTCCAATAACCTCCTACTCTTTTAAATCCTCCATTAGCTACCAACACAAACTGTTGCATCAAAGCAAAACAGGGCATACAAGTTAGCTAAGACCCAAAAGTTGAAGAAACACCAATTTTTTTTAGCAGCCACTGTGAATCAACTCAGGATTCATCAACTTTGTTCATCCGATTCTCCATCATCCCGGAATACTTTCTCCGGTCACCTCCGATCCTTAATTTTATTGAAGTGGTATGTAGAAGATCAGTTCCGGTTAATATAGCTTATTTGCTCATTTTTCATCTGTTCTGTTCTTCAACCTTTTCTTTTTCATCATCATACAAGTATCAAGCATATACAGATTTTATTCTCTTGTTATTATTACCTTCATTTTTTTCTCTGAAAATGAAGAAATTGTTCCATAGATCATTGTTCCAAATTCGGGTGGGACCCACATATCCATGTGAGTGTTAGATTGATCTGAATTCGGACTAAGTATCACTGCTCTAATTATATATATATTTATATGATTTTTTTCGGAATTTAGAGATATATATATATATATATAATTGTGTGTGTGGGTGTGTGAGTGGAGCATTTTCGGGTGTCAAGTATTTTCTTGTTTCCTGCTTCCTGTCTGCCTTATATGCTGACCAGAATTTGGGGTTTGGTGTATGCGTATTTTTTACCATTTTTTCTCATCCCCACAAACTTATATGTGCCTTGTGAATTTTGTTGGCAGTGGTTATAAGTTGGAAAACTTGGAATTGATTATCTGTTTCAATAGTTTGTAAATGGACAGAGAAGCTCAAGTGTTTAATACCATATATGTGTGTGTGTGTGTGTGTGTGTTTTGGGGGGGGGGGGGGGGGGGGGGTTTAATAATTTAAGTACCTATAGTGCTATGTTTTTGGTAAGTAAATAAGTGGTTTTTTATAGAATAATCATAACTCCACAAGGCTCTATTTTGTTTCGAGTGTAAATGAGGTTGTTGATTCTAATATGCTTGTAATTCTGCTTGTGGCATGACATGTTATAGAAGCATTTGCATAGTACATGTGTGCATCGTATACACTACAAAATTAATGCCAAAGTTCCTTCTCTTTGTTGGACATATGTTTGGTGATGTCAACCAGCTTAAATGACAATGAGTTTTCTGGAACCTACCCATCAACTGGCCAATGGAGAGTCATTATTTTTCTTGAAAACTCTCCATGAGGGGTGCCTGAGGGAAACGCGGACACAGGTGGCGGATGGCTGTCGTCAGCTCGTGCCATAAGGTGCTGCGTTAAGTCCCACAACGAGTCAACCCTTAGTGTTTCTCTTTTATCAAAGCAAATGGAGAGTTTTCATGACTATCCATTGGCCAGGGGTGCCACGTATAAGTAATAAGTACCCCGAGGTATTGTATACTTTCTCCTTTTAGCCAAAATGTGATGTGTTCTTTGTGTTCTTGTGTTTTCTGCAATGTCATGTCAATGCTTTATTTTCAACACTTCTAAACATGCCTAATGATTGATTTGATTCTTATGTTCATTGTCACTTGACTCATTTCCATTATATATTTGCAGCACAAGGTCAGGGTTCAATCTTTGTCTGATTAAATGGGATGCATATCTTCGAAAGTTTTGACTAGATCACTAAGCATTCAAGAAGAGCTGAACCACAGCTTGCAGAGGAGAACCAATGGAGTCCCTGTGCTGGAAGAATTATTTACCTCCACTAATGGCAATGATCACCATCAGTTCCTTACCCTTGTTTGCACTGCCGACAAAGCAGCCAACGAACTCCGAACTGGGAGTTTCACTTTGCTGTCAAAAACCGGTCCCAAACCACCTCCTGAGCCTACAAATACCGAGGCTGCTGCTGCCACCAATTGGGAGTTGATGGCAGGCCTCAAAGAACAAGGAGAGGAGAAACAAGCGGTGCAGCCTGCAGAGTCACTGCTGCTATCACCCCCGAAAGAAGTAGAAACAAGTGATATCAAGACATCTAAACGATCTAAAAGCTTTCACCGGATTGATGGGCTTAAAGAAGGTGAGTATGATTGGGAGAACAAGGGCATGCCACGCTCGAGAAGCTTTCACACAATAGAGGAATTTGATGCAATGCTAGAAAAAATTCAAAAAGGTTTGTCGTCCAGGGCACACGAATTAGGGTTGGAGGATTACTGTGAGTCAGTAACCAAATTGCAATTTCAAGATGCTAATGCTTCATTTGAAAACTCTCGTCAAACTGATCAATCAGTTTTAAGGGATGAAGATTCAACCAGACAGAGGACAGTGACTGAAGTGTATCGCGTTTCCTTTACTTCGGAACCTGAGAGTAAAGAATCGCATCCAAGTCTTAATAGCGGCAGCTTAGCTGAGGAAATGGATAGTGTTGAAGATGCTGCTGAAGAAGGAAACGTATCCGAGAAAGGCATAAAAAGAAAGAGTGTCGCCAAGGGGCTAAGATCACTCGAAATCCCATCCACCATTGAGCTCCCCACCATTGGAAGCCTTAGGGAATGGCTTCATGATGGGGGCCAAGCTTTCACTCCTAAATTTGGGAGCTACAATTTAGAAACTTGTGTGTCAGAAAAGGATGGTGACGACGTGGACAGCATTTTCAGTCCAGAGATGGTGGCAGCTTTTGAAGAGTGTATGCAACAACTGGAAGTAGAAGAAGAAAGCATTATCAAACAAATTGAAGGGAGTCTGAAGGTAGATGACTCCAAAAGAGAGGGAAGCTGAAGAGGGAATTCCTTCCTGACATTTACAATCCAAAAATGTGGAAGAACTTAGCCCTCAATTCAAATTCCCAATGTGGAGAGAGAGAGAGAGAGAGGAATCTGCATTCTGTAACATATTGCAAGAATTCCTGTACAATGTGACTTGCAAGAAAATTAAAGCACTAGGCTTGTATCAGCATGTTCTTCTAGATTAAGCCAAGGATACAGATATTCATGATTGTTTTATTACTTTAATAAATAAAAAAATATGGAAAATTAGTCCAATAATTAGAACAATCATTTCCTGTGACTCAATCAAATTGGTTCAAATACTAAGAAATTTTGACAATAAATCTAGTTTATGATTGCACAAATCATAAACACGTGTACATGAACTCATTCATAAATATAAACATATGCTCCCCATCCCAAAAAGGACTGCTTTCACAACAGATAGTGAACCACTAGTGCAACTAAGGTGCACATCTCCATCAGAAACAATGAAAAGTACAATCCACTCTGTACCTTCAGCATCCAACAAATCTGAATCTGGTTCTCACAACAATAAAATATAATGATCTACATTATGTGGATGAGTACTGAAGAGTGGTAATGGCTCGTTGTGTGTGTGTGTGTGTGTCCGCACACGCCCGCAGAGAGAGATTTTCTTATTTGAGAGCAAAGAAGGGAGAAGTGAAACCAAAGAGAACCATATAACGAACATTAGCAAACACACCATAGCAAATAGTTGTAATGCATAATCAACATCGCTACTAATATTAATTAACCAAATGACCATCTGTAACACAAAAAGTTCATGTCCCCAAGACAAGTGCAACACCGGCCATTCTTGCACAAATTGGAATAATTTACCCTAACAAATGCATCAATAACATTGTGTGCAGCGTTATGTCATTAACAAAGGAAATTTGCCATTCTCGCGCTATGACAACGAGCACTTCTTAACCTCATCGAATGATCTATACAAAAAATCCATGCCCCACCCATCTCGTTCAAGTTCAACAGATTGACAGCAAGCATTATTTGAGAACATCAGTGCCATAACAAGAAACAATTGCAGTAAATTGTCCTCCTGCACTGTAACATGAGTTATGTCACCCCCATCCATGTACACCAACTGTAACATCGAGCATACTAACATATCCAAAAGAATGGATGCATGAACTCACAAATGGATCACATATACGAACTCAAAGCAGAGAGTCCAGATATGAATAGTTCCTGCGTCGATTGTACTGGAGAAGGCTACCATATGTGCGATCCCACACTCCAATGAACAGAGATTCTGTATCGGGGCTGAAAGAGACGCCAGAGATCTCCCCAAAAAAATCGATCTCCTGCTCTTTCTCATACCCATTCTTTGCATCATAGACATGGACAAAATCAGCCGGCTCGGCCATCGCCATAAACTGCCCATCAGATGTGAAACGAATTGATCTGATGGCTCCTAGATTTCCCTTAAGCACAGCAACAGATTTGGATAAGTTCCGAGCATCCCATACACGGCAAGTCTTGTCTTGGTTGCCAGTGGCAAATGTGTTACCATCTGGATGCCATGCAGATGCAAATGAGAAGTCCAAGTGCCCACGTAAAGGCATGACGGTCTACAATTACAAAATTTTAAAATTAGTTAAAAGATGTATCCTTCTCATTCCACCCTTCTCTGTGTTGGGTACAGAAGGTTTTAGGTCAATACAATTCCACTTAAAATTGTTATTCATGTTTCAAAGATGACTAGGTTTACCTTTCCTGTTTGAGAATCCACCAGTATCCCATCAGGGTTGTCACCTACAATGACAACAAGCTTCCCGTCTGGACTAAGAGAGGTATGCTGTAACAGAATAAACAACAGACATCAATACAACTTGGTCAAGTATTTCAAACTAGCAAACCTCAGGTTGACTTTGTGGGTTCGCTGATGTGTAACTCCAGCAAGCTGTTGGCTGCTATTTCACAATTAGCAGGGCAAAAACTTCACCCTGCCCTAACGATCCAATGTACACACAGTGCACACCTGCTAGTACTAAACATCCAAACTTCCTATCTACATAAAACTTAAGTAAGCCCAATCATATTAATTCTACCCAGGAGAAGCAACGCAATGGGGCAGCTAAGCTTGGTCATATTCCATAGCAACAATACCACTGGCCTAACCAGCCTAAGGTGCCTGAACCAATAAGCTTCAACAGCAAGAACAAAGGATCTGGCTTACAATTGCCACCACCGTAACCCATCAAAGAGTTATTATTATTTATTTTTTTATAAAATATTGTCTAGGCATGGAGAAAAATAAAAATGGTTGCAATGCTATACACATACACTTGTGAGGTGTAAAAGAAAATTTCCTTTTATTGGGAGTATGAAGTTCATAATGCTTTGGCAAGTTGTACCTTTACGAAGGAAAGTAAGACAATAAAATATCACAATCATTTAATGAGACACAATCAACTACGGCCTCAAAACTGGCTCTGCTTGTGTAGCATAACAAGAACAAAGTCATGATGCTGTTCACTGTTACTAGGGCATGATCCAGTTATATTAGTGAAAAATACACATGGTCATCTTTCCTAGTTCCCATCTAGCAGTTTCTTATATCTACCTAGTTCAACTCTATTATTTCAAATTAGTAGAAGTGTAGAACAACTAGAATGTACTTACATTCACCGGCCAAGGATAGGAGAAATGCTTTGAAAGCTGAAATCTCTCCATGTCGAAGTCCCTGACTCCACAATCATTATTTGAAGCCATGAAATGAACGGCACCACTGGTAACAGTATCAATTCAATTAGCACCCAAACTGAAGTCGCAGCTAAAAAAATAAAAGAGAGGAGGGAATGAAAAGAAGCAGACCTCGGACTGTCGTAAATGTCAACTGCATTTGTGATTGCGTTATCATCGTATGTTGTCCTGGAACAAAAGCTCACTCCAGGTCGATCTAAATACTGCATTCCACCATGAATTCAATGTATCAGCTACTGTGTAGTACATTTATTCAGAATTATCCAAATCAAAATTCAAAATGGATGTCATACCACAATCACAGTCACAACCAAAATGCATTCAGGTTTAACTAACTGGCCATGTGGCCCCTTCTCAAGAAACCACAAAACTATGTTGTATTAACAATTAAATCCTCTAACAGCATTTCACTAAATATAAATAACAAAGAGATAAAGAGATTGAATATAGATGCAGTATGTTTAATCAATCACTCTAATTTCTCAAATTTTAGACTACAATAATAATCAGGAAAGATTAATAAACTTTAAAAAGACAAAAGATATGTCAAAGGTTAAGTTTGTTTGCAGTCTTCCCCCTCCCAACACTCCATGTAGGCAGGACATACACTCAGTTGCCATTTTGTAACATAAACATTTTTATAACTAAAATTTCATTAAAGAATCACTCAAAAGGGGAGCAAGCCCATTTTATAACATAAACTAAATCACCAAAAGTGAAGTGGTAAACATAAAATTTCATTAGCAGCGTGGCAAGTAACAGAAGCCTAAAAGGCTTTAAAGATTAAGAAATCTAGAATTCATGCGACCAAAAACTAAAAAATAAAAATAAAAAAATATAACTGAAAGACATGAGAAGGTTATAGATTCATAGTTACTGATAGTATTTCTGTCAGTGCTACAGTTTTCTTGTTGAAACAAAACATACCATTACCAAATCAACTTTGTGTTTCATTTGGGATGTATCGCTAAGGAGTATGTATATATAATGTACACGCACTATATTATGAATATAAACATAAAGTACATGGAAGCAATATCTGAAAATTTATTAAATAAAATTACCTATTTAAGTTCTTCAATCCAGTTGAACAACTTTTTGACAATGTTGTACCAATGCATTAAAACTATACCAAGAACCACCAATGGGCCATTAGTCCAGCTGGCATAACCTCTCCTCCCTCAAAGGGTAGGCAAGGGGTTCGAGCCCCATAATTGGCATTTGTGGGTGGGGGGGTGAGTACTTACCAAAAAAAAGAAAACAATACCAAGAACCTGTTGGCCTTACAGTTAGCCATAATTCAATTCCTCACAATAATATACTTTATACACTATTAGTTTTCAAATTTCAAACATGGACAATAGAAGGTAATAACTTAAGTGGCATCAACCCGAAAAAAAAAATACTCAACATCAAAAGTAAAATAAAAGTGAAAGGAAAAAATAATATATTTGAAAGAAAGTACTTCTCGTCCATTTGAAATATCTAGAAGATCACAGTCGATCTGCTTCATCTATTATCCCGGATAGGTATACAACATATTAGGGAGGATTACATAGAATATAATATACATAAGGATATCACATTTCTGAGTAATGCCCCATAATTGGCATTTGTGGGTGGGGGTGCAGGTATTTTCCTAACAAAAAAAAAAAAACTTTACCAAGAACCGGTTGGCCTTACAATTAGCCATAATTCAAATCCTCACAATAATATACTTGATACGTAATGCCCTAGAATTGGCATTTGTGGGTGGGGGCCATGAGTATATTTACCTTAAAAAAAAAACCTTTACCAAGAACCTGTTGGTCTTACAGTTAGCCATAATTCAACTTCTCAAAATAATAAACTTTATACACTATTAGTTTTCAAAATTCAAACATGGACTATAGAAGGGATAAACTTAAATGGCATCAACCCAAAAAAAGAAAGAAAAAAAATTACTCAATGTCAAAAGTAAAATAAAGGTGAAAGGAAAAAAATTAGATTTGAAGGAAGTGCTTCTCGTCCACTACTCCAGCTAGTCACCGGAGTCATAAACTCCGGTGAAATCCTCTACTTTTCTTCTTTTCTGCGTTTCTCCTTCTCTGTTGGGCTTGAGGTTTTTTGATTCAGTAGGTTTCTTGTCTTGTTGGTTGCTGTCATCTTTGTCATGTGTTCATTTTTGGAGGTAGCTAGATTGCCTCGTCTGTTCCAAGGTGGCTCTGCGAGATCTGCAATTCCGTAAAGAGGACCCTCGATTTTCTTGGATGACGACTCGGTTGGTAGGAGGAGAGAAGATCTTCAATCATGTTTGGTCGGAAAGTTTGATAAGGAAGTGGGTGATGGGGATCAAATCGCTACTTGGGCTTCGCGAGCTTGGAAGATCTCCGCTAGAGTGACGGTTTCGCCTCTATCGAATTCTCTGCTTCTTTTTCGGCTTCCCTCTGCGACAGAGGCAACTCGGGTGGTTAAAGAGGGTCGCCGTGATTGGGGGAGGGCCACTTTATGAGTGGATGCTTGGGGTTTCAGAGTGGGTTGCTCGAAGGTCTTAAAGGAGAAGGGGCTGAAAAAAGTGACGATCTACGGTCTCCCTCTTCACCTGTGGAGCATGCTCTGTTTGTGACAGTCGGTGATTTGTGTGGTGGTTTTGTGTGGGTGGATGCCGATGAAGCTATTGATGCTGAAAGAGTCCGTATCACTGTGTCGGATGGTCGGGTTTGCCCCCCATTTGTGTTCGTCCAAGATGATCGGTTTTGTTATAAAGTGGCTGTTTGGGAGGAGAAGAATCCCGAGCTTGTTCCGACAACGGATAGTTTGGAAGGAGGAGATGGGCAGCATTTGCTTAAGGAAAAAGAATGGTTGAAATGGGAATCTATGGGGAAGAAGGGGATGGCAGAGTTAAAGATATGGACAGAATGGAGGGATGAGATGTGGATCCAGAATTCGGAGAGTTTTAAAAGGCTTTTCACCCAGAGACGTTGTGGTGGCCCTTCTTCCTTGACGGATCGTCGTCGGCAAGCAGGTCTTCGGCCGTTTCTGAGGGATGGAGGTTTTGCAGGATTTGGCCGCCGTTCTTTCTTGCAGCAATGGGATCAGAGAAGGCACCGTGGTGGGTTTCACGTGCATCAAGCGCGTGGGTGGAGGAGAAGTGCTAACCAGACACATGGTTGGCGTTCAGGTGTCACCCGGTGGAGCACAGTTGTTTCCAACTTTAATTCAAATTCCTCTTGGGTTAGGCAGGCTCAGAAGCCCACTTGTGTTGCTGGCCTGTTATTGGGACGGGGAATAGGGCTTTGGTGGTTTGTCAATCTCCTTCTTTTGGTGGGCCGGCTGAGGGGCTTTTGGGCAATGACAAGCTTGTTAATGGACCTCCGGGTTTAGGCAATCATGGGCCAACTTCTAGTGGATCGGTTGGTGGGTCAATTGTCTAACCACTTTTGAATGGGTGTGTTAGTGGATCTTCTGGGCTAAAAAGTGGGACGGTCACAGTACCTGTTGGGTTGAAGAGTGGGCCGGGTACTGTTCCTTCTTGTTCTAGGCTTAGTTTGGATAATAAGTTTGGGCCTTTATCTTCCTCATTGGAAGGAAGAGCCTCTTCGACACCTGGTTCGTCTTGTACAGGACGAAGAGATGAGCGGCGACTGAAGGTCCCCGTGCAGCGTCATCAGCTGGCCAAGAAGAAAATCCTTCTTCCTGCTCTTCACAAAAGATGGACAAGAAACGATAAACAAAAGTGGGTTCATTCGGATTCTGATCCAGGTAAGTCTTCTTTGTTTTCTGCGAATTCTCCTCTCAATTCGCTTTCTTCTCCTTCTTCTTCTTCTGTTGGGGGGTTGAAGAGGTGCTTGGGATTGGAGGAGGGAGGGGTGATCACTGATTCGTTCCCTTTGGCCCCGGTTGTTGAAGGGATTTCGGAGACTATACCGCTGGCGAACAGGTTGGGTTTCTCTAGGCCTAGGGAGGACTATGGTGAGGAAGTCACGGTGTGTGTAGGTCGTGATGTGAAGATAAAGGTTGATAATGTTTCTGCCACTGTTCTGCTGAAGGAATTACGGGATATTTTTTGGTTTTGAAAGGCTTTCAGTGTGATTCAAGGGGAGGGCCGCCTGAGGAGGTGACTGATACGCAGCAGACCGGGTGTTCTCATTCCTCTTTTGTTCTTGATGATTGGGAGGGAACTGCATGTTCCTCCCTTGATGGAGATATGAGTTTGGTTCAGTGGGAGAATTTAAAGCAGACTGTGAACTTGGCTGTCCCTTTGGATGTTGTCCATCTGGAGGGGGATTGGGTGAGTGGATCTACGGATGTTAAGGGAGTTGAGGAGTGGGTGAGGGAAAAGGGTTTGGACGTGGGTTCTCTTTTGGGAGTGTCATTCGAAGGTAGGGTGGATGGGGCAATGTGTTTGTTCCATGATGTTCTCAAATCTCAACTTAAGGAGAGGATGGGAGGTAGGAGTAGGATGCAAGATGGGGTGGGAGAGATGGGGTTCAGAGTCCCACTGATGTTATCACATGTGGTAGGAGGAATAAGGGGTCCAGGGAGAGGGATAGTGGTAGGAGGGGAGGATTCGCTAGCTCAGTTGTTTCCCTATGAAGCTGCGAATTATTTCATGGAATGTCTGGGGTCTCAATGACCCGGTTAGGGGGAAGGTGGTAAAATCGGCTATTCGTAAAGGGGGAGGTCATGTGGTGTGTTTGCAAGAAACCAAGCTTGCATCGATGTCAAATAGGATGGTGCGAAGCCTTTGGGGAGGCAGATTTGTGGAGTGGCTTGCCTTGGATGCTGTTGGTTCCTCGGGTGGTATCTTGATCATGGGATAACAAATGGGTGTCTAATGTGGATTCTCAGGTTTGGAGTTTCTCTGTTTCGTGCATTCTCTCTTGGTGGAGGATGGTGTTGTCTTTTATGGTGTTTATGGGCCTACTGAAGACAGAGCTTGCCGTTTGCTTTGGGAGGAGTTGGGGAAGGTTAGAAGAAGATGGTTGTTTCCTTGGTGTGTTGGAGGGGATTTTAATGTTGTTCACTCTCCTTTTGAGAGGTCGACGGGGGGTAGGTGGACGGCAAATATGGAGTCCTTTTCGAAGTTCATTGATGAGTTTGGGTTGGGTTACTTGCCTTTAGAGGGAGGGTCTTTTACTTGGTCCAGTGGCCGCTCTCCCCCTACTCTTTCTCGGCTTGATAGATTCCTTGTGTCCGGGGAGTGGGATGAGAGGTTTTTAGA